TCTAAATTGATCCATGAAGCAGAAGAAGGGTATAACTTAATTTTCATCATTTTTCAGGAGAAACAAAAAAGTTTGCAGGGTAAACTTAATCCAATCAGATGAATGATGTAATTGCATTTTTGTCAAGAAAGCCAAAGACATAACTCTGAAAATTTTCAAAAGTGTAGCATCCCTCTGTAGACGGTTTTTGTGATTTACATCTTTATGGTGGAATGGACTGCGGAACCATATTTACTTAGTTCTCCCAAACAAGGCGGAATTTGGAGGCAATTAAAGTGGAGCTGAGGTCTGCATAGAGTCTGTAGTTCTGTGGCATTTTTTTTTGGAGTTACCCCTTTTCCCACCAAAGGTGATAACAATATTTCTCGCGCAGCAAAAACATTATGTACTTCTCTAAGGGTGCGCTTCGTCCCAACTGTGTCAGTTCAGAAAAGTGTTCGGCCCTAGAAAACAAGCATCAACCCCAACACACATCAAGAGAAATGACTTTGAACTTTCAGCAACCTCAAAGACATTGTAGCTAATTTTGGTGTGCTCATTAGTCAGAGCCAGCGGCGTCGGAAGTGGGGTGCAGGGGGGTCAGGCTGCCCCCCCTAAAATCCGGGCCCGCGAAGCGGGCCTTTCGGGCCCGTGAAGCGGGCTCATCGCGCCCGCAAAGCGGGCCTATCCCGGACTTGTGGCCCGCGAAGCGGGCCTGTCGCCAGCCGAGGTAGCGGGTTACTGGCCGACTCGTGGCCCGCGAAGCGGGCTCCTCGCCGGTCTAAAACTCGCGGAGCGTCACCCTTGCCTGCCTGAAGTCGCAGTCTGACACACTCGCGAGCGGGCCCGCATGGACAAGCGAGTACTCGCATTTAAAGCAAAACATATTTAACTGTGCTGCGCCTGTCCTGCGAGTGCGAGTAATCGCCAGTGTGACACGCCAACGGCAAGCCTCGGAGCGGGCAGCCGGCTCACATCATATCCACGAACACGAAAGGGGTTCCTGCAACACGGGGCGGGCTCCCCGCAGCGAAGCGGGCTCTCCTTAAGGCGAAGCGGGCTCCCGGGAAAGCGCAGCGGGCTCCCCGCAACTCGGAACGGGCTCCCTGCAAAACGAGGCGGGCTCCTTGGACGACGAGGCGGGCTCCCTAAAAAGCGAAGCGGGCCCCCTGCAAAGCAAAGCGGGCTCCCTGAAAAGCGAAGCGGGCTCCCTGCAAAGTGAAGTGTGTAGGGTAAGGTTTCGGAACATGGATCACTTTTTAGGAATGTCCTATATTTTGGCTCAAACAAGCGACGACCTAAATTTTCTTCGACGCACTTCAAGATTACCACAAAGACAACCTTCTCCCAAGAACTGCATATTTAATAACAAATACTTTAAGGGGAGGTCCTGGTGAAAATGCTATTTTCTCCTAAATAGGTCCCACTGTGAAAATTAGTTAAAAATTTGATGTCTTACCAAGTAATTAATAAAAATTTTCAGTGGAGACTCGCCCTTAACCCAGTCGCAGAGAAATTTTCTCCCATTTAGGCTGTAACTTAAAATATCTTCTTGCGCATACAATTTTGTCGGAAAAGGTTGGCCTTGACACTTTTCACTTCTTTGATTCATTTTTAAAAGATGCCGGCATGCACAACTCAAAATGTGAATATTATTTTCATTCGCAAGCTTTCTAACCAATCATTTCAATATGATTCATCAAAAATGTACAAAATAGACAAATTTTAGAGACTTTTCAGCTTAAAAAGCTTACAGTTAATAATATAATGGAAATTTTGAGCTATGCATGCCGGAATTTTTTGAAAATGAATCGAAGAAGTGAAAAATGTCAAGGTCAACCTTTAACGACAAAAAAGTATGCGCAAGGAGATTTTTTAAGGTACAGCCAAAATAGGCTCAAAAAGACTCTTCGTTTGGGTTCAGAGCCTGAGATGTGCCTTCAAAAATCAAATTTTAGTCTCCTCAAAGAAAGATTTTATATTCCGAACAAATTATGACACTGGGATCCATTTGGGAAATGGCAAGATTTGCACCAGAACCTCCCCTGAAAATTTACAGGGCTTTGAAATTTCACTGATTTTAGTGATCCATGTTTGGGTCAGACCCAAACATGGATCACCTTCCCTCCCCCCCCCCTCCCCTCGCGTTTTGACAGGGGCGTTCCGATAACTTCCGGTCGCCTAAATTTAAAAAGGGTACACTCTGAAGGTGCAACGAAAAAATTTTGAGACATTTCTGATGAATGGATTCTTTTTAATAACGGTTTGAATTTTGACTCCTAACCTAACCCGAAACCAGGCCATTTTCGGACCCCTTTTCAGAGGCTTTTTTCCACTTGTGTACCGCGTAAGGTTGATCAGTTCCCCCGCTCGTGATTCTGAAAGTTAATGGTGTAGGCTTTATGAAAACCTTCGAAAAAATTAAAGTGGTCGCTTGGTTTGGCAGTACGGGCTCGCAAACAAAAATGATCCATAATTGGTACCCCGATCCATGTTCGGCACTTTACCCTACTGAAGAACACACGTAGTGCACACTGTGTGTGTGTGCTCAGCGCACACTTAAGTTTTCAGTGCATCTGGTTATTTCTACCTGCCAGATCTTGCACTGCATTCTCATTAAAACACTCCTACCTAAACGCTCAATCTCAATCAATGCTCAAAACGCGGTCGCGGAAAAGTGTGTTTGTGTGTGGGGGGGGGGGGGGGGGCGGCGGGGGTCGTTTCAAAATTTCACGGGCTTCTCGGAAGAAAATGCGGGCCTCTTCAAAAGTCTGCCCCCTCCATTAAAATCCACTTCCGACGCCGCTGGTCAGAGCTATTTCCTCAATGACATAATGACACTCTTCTAAGTCTTGGTTACTGAAGGTCGATGATGAAGCAGAATTTGTAAAGCCAAAAAGACAGAAAAGGGTCCACATATGACGAGATATACGCATGCAGCGGCGATTTCGGGAAATTGTAAGGCGTTTCATACGAATTTTTTCTACAAAAAATAGATTTTCGCCTCCCAGGGTTCCTGCGCATTTCCCCCAAAATGCCTCCAACTCTAAAATCGTTATTTTGGGTCTCTAGAACACCCGTGCAAAGCGCCAGACCGGGGTCACACACTAAATGTTTTTGTACCAATTTTGTACGAGACCTCACAGTTTTTTGAGCACACGAATTTTTCGTACAAATTTGTACAAAATTTTGTACAATTTTGTACAAAAATGGCAAAAAATGTGCAGTTTTTCGTACGAAAGTTGTACGAAAATTTCGTGTGCACAAAAACCAGTGATGTCTTGTACAATATTGTATATAACATTTAGTGTGCAGCAAGTGCAAGGTTGATTCCAAATCTGTCGCTTACAGCCCTGACTAGTTCCTACGTCTAAATCAACTTCCCTGCAGATGTTCGAGAACGACTTCAAGGGTTGGACCTCGTTCCCCGAGGGCGAGTTGGTGTTCGAGGTGCAGCATCGGCCCAACGAGCTGGCCGTCTGGCTGGCGGGCCACCCGGACAAGGCGGCCGTGGTGCCCGTCCAGGAGCCCAGCGACAAGCTGGTGGTGACGCCTTACCTTCGGAGCTACGTCATGCCCGTCGAGTTCATCGGTAAGGCAGCCGCCAAGTTTTATTGTTTGTGCATAACTGCTGTCCTTCTGCGCAATCCAAATAGAATGATGGGAGAAATTTGGCGGGAGCGCTAGCAACGCGAACGTTTGCTTGCAACTTGCCGAAGTAAAATGTGATTATTGTTCCTTGCAGGCAACAAAGCCGAATGCAGCGACACGGAGTTCCGGTGCCTCGACGGGGACTGCATCGACTCGGTACGTCGCTGTGACGGCCAGAAGCACTGCGGCGACAACAGTGACGAGGACGTGGTACTCTGTGACGGTGGTGAGACATCTATGACATCTCGAGGGGTGCTATTCAAATGATCTTATCTGGGCGCTCCTACTCAAAGAATCTTCTCTGCATCGCAAGCAAATTTCACTATTGGTTTCTTTGATCTTTTATCTCCAAGTTTGTGTGTGACTAAAATCACAAATTATTTTCATTTGTTGCTGTCTCAAATGATCAAACTTAGTGAAATTCGTTTGCATGGGTGATTCCATGCGAAACCAACGAACTCTTGGAAATTCATCTCTTCGATTTGGATGAAACTTTTTTTTTAGGGTAGGGGTCATTATGAAAAGATCCAATGTCAAAGGGGTTTGCGATATCTCTCCCCGTTTGGCTGTAATAACACAGCGAAGTTTTCACTTTGGTCAGAATCATGATATTTCCCGTGAGGAAATAAATTTTGTCTTGTCGAGACGAATCCGTTGATATACTATAGAAAAGTCATTTTGGACAATTTTGAAAATTTCACCCTATTTCAGTATGAGAGAAACTAGGGTAAATTTTCAAAATTGTCCAAAATGACTTTTCTATATGTCAATGGACTCGTCTCGACAAGACAAAATTTATTTTCTCACGGGACATAAGCTTGGACGCAAACACAGAAAGTTGGTTCAAGAATTCAAGAAAAACGCCCAAAATGATACATCCTTTCTGCGAGGAAAGTCACATCGAAGTCGGAGATGAGCTTTTTTGAAGACATCGATTTTTCGGAAAAAAATTACGTTAAATGGAGAAACCGACATCAAAACTTCACCCAATCGCCTCGAAACTATTTCCATCGTGTTCCTCAGCTCTTTTACGTAAAGAGCCATTGTCGGAACAAATCTGAAAACTTTCAATAAGTACGGAGAAAAATAAAGAAAATATGATTCTGACCAAAGTGAAAACTTCGCTGTGTTATTACAGCCAAACGGGGAGAGATATCGCTAAACCCTTTGACATTGGATCTTTTCATGATGACCCCTACCCCTAAAAAAAGTTTCATCCAAATCGAAGAGATGAATTTCCAAGAGTTCGTTGGTTTGGCATGGAATCGCCCAGATAAGATCTTTTGAAAAGGACCCCTTGATTTCAACGCCGATTTGACAATTAGATTCGTTGTTTTTATGTTGAGTGTGGCATATCGCAGCAATTGTAGGCTGCGGCAGAGGCGGCCCGGGCCCTGCGACCCTCGTGCAGAACGGCAACAAGACCTCCATCGAGTCCGTGCCGTGGCACGCGGGCATCTTCGTCGAGGCCAATGGCCGCCTCCAGAACGTGTGTGGCGGCAGTCTCGTGTCCCCGTGCATCGTTGTTACAGGTGATCTTTACTCTGAAACTAAACGTGGGCGTATGACATATCCGCAGGAGACGAAGCGGTTTTTCTCGTCTCCGCCCCACAAATGCGGAAATGCTCTACGTCTGCACGCCTTGCAAATGGGTCATACCTTGATGGCTCAACCTCGTTTGTGCTGTGGGGTGGGAACGGCAATGATGACCGCACCTCACATGCAGCGTTCTCCACGTTTAGTTGGAGTTCTCAACTTTTGGTTCAACAGTGAACAACGATCCACGAAGATATAAAATTTGAACCCCCAAAGTTGGTCTCATTTGTCTCCTAACGCGCATCGCTTCAAATCCTTTTTTTGTGTGTACATGCATATGCCTATTTTGGCCATCGTTTACTTACCAGATATCAATGTCGAAAAATTGGGTTCCTTGTTAAGTAAGCACTTTCTTCATCTTCTACCACTTCCCAAACTATATTCTTCATTATATTTTTATTATTATTTTCAGCTGCGCATTGTCTTTTGCAAGGAAAGATATTTGTCGCTCTGGGCAAATTTCTCAGTGGCTGGCATTCTGAATCCGGGGAAGACGTTCACAAGACTGAGGCATGCACGAAATTAATGGGTTGAGTCATAACAAACGCCTAGCCTAAGTTGAACTTTTTCACATTACATGCAGCAAATACAGAGTACATGGTGTAGCCAGTATTATTAATTGTGTGATCCGTCCACGTTATGTCGTTTCTGTTTGCAATACTATGCAGGCAGTAAAAAAGTTCCAGAACTGCAATAATTGCTGAAAACCAGCCATGTCCGTGGTATTTGCTGCATACGTCACGATGAATGCAGTAATGACTCCTTACAATGTGCAATGTTTTTTCAGCAGAGTATACTTTGATTATTGCTGTTCTTTTAAAATGCAGGTGAAAAGAAATTTTCAAGCATCTCACTATTTTGGGGTACATATCCAAGCTGGTTTTCCCACATAGCAGTGCTTGAACTGAAAAACTGCAGCCCCATCAGCAAGAAAATTTCACCAATCTGCATTGATAAGAATGTGAAGCCCGTCTTGTCAGCTGACGTCAAGGTGCAGTTACAATTTCACATGGAACACTTTCTTTTGGAATCATCCAATCCGTTGTTGACGATGGAGCTTCGCAGGTCGCTGGCTGGGGCAACGAGACGACCGTCTTGACGGATCTGGCGTCCGTGACCCTGACGCAGCTCACTTTCGACGACTGTTTGGCCCTGATGACAAAGAATGGTCCGCACGTTGCTTACGTGACGCTCGACAAGTTTTGCGCACAGCGAAAAAGGGGTAAGAGCGCAAAGGAAATGCACACAAATCTGTAGGTCCATTATCTGTGGCCTTTATTCTGTCTTTGCGATGTGAGGAATGTAGCTTTCGGGCTAAACGTATAAAGGTTTAGGATCTCGTAAACTTTCGGTCTACGATTTCGTTTCAAATTTGTACACACATTAAGGATGGTAATACACCTCGACAAAAATTAGCGGAACGCTTTTAGTCATCGTCATATTTTTTAAGTCTTTTGAGCTGGGAAGCTGAAATTTTGTACACAGGTGCCCCCACTACTCCCCTCGAGGCCTGCGAAGCGCGTGGCCCGTGCGCCTCCCCTAACGGACGGCACCCACCCCTAAGTGCACAAGGGTGAAAAAATCGATGAAAACGCGCCGTAAAAACCAACTTTACCTTATCGCAGAGTCCAAAGTTTTGGTTTGCGAGGTCAAATGAGTCTCCTCTTTCCAACGATGCAAGCAGAATTCAATTTGAACCAACCCACCCCCCGCTGCACTCACCCCCACCCCCTCAAGGGGGTGGATTTCGAGCGTGTTCGTATATCGCGCACGCTTGGGCGATTCCGTACGTAGGGGCCGTTTTAGCCACCTTAGAAAGTCACATAATCAATCTTGCTTGTTCGGCCTGAATTTTGCCTAGATGGCGTCAATAGGACGACACTCTGAGCGTGGGCGAGCTACAAGTTGACTTTCGTTTTCTCCCCCTATAAAATATGACGAAATTTACTGAAAATATGACGGAAATTGATCCAGGAAGCGGAAGAAGGGAATAACTTGACTTATCCCCAAATTGAGTTTTTATTTTATTATTGTGCCTTAGAATGGTTTCCATCATTACACCAAATTATTTGACTGAATTCCAAGCAGTTTAGGAGAAAATCCACATGGAAAAAGGGTATAACTCAACTTAACCCCTTTTACGGTCTAAATTTCATTGGAAAATGGAGATAACTCAACCGAAGTCCACCTGAGTCCGTTTGACAAATTGGAAAAAGGATACAACTCAACTTGTATTTTTATGAATCTAGTGTAAAAAGAATCAACTCAACTTAACCCCCCCTTAATTTTAAATTTCAATTTGGAAAAAAGAGCTAAGTCCAAAAAATACACCAGGTTAACATACACTTTATGCAGACTTTTGTTCCACTTGACTTGTCTCAAAATTCCTCTTTGTTTAGGAAATATAAGGTGAGCTGACTCTGTTTTCCATTTCAACGGAAAGCGATAAGTCGCAGAAATCCTCTACGGAGTGACCTTACACTTTTGATTTTTTTCCAAAATTTTACTAATGCTTTTTGAAATTATTAACATCTGCAACATTCATTTGTTTTGTTTTAGTTTTCCCTGCTAACAGTTTTTGGTTTCTCCTGAAAAATGGCCAAAATTGAGTTATCCCCTTCTTCCGCTTCCTGGATCAATTGCGCTTGACGGAAATTACAAACAGATGTTTCTGGCTCACTGCAAATGCCCATCGCCTCAGAAATATGCTATAAGTTTGGCACACTAGTCCGACGTCAAGACACGCCCTTTCACGTGTAGGATGACTTTCTAAACCCAATAGGAGAGGGGCGAGAGGGGCATTCGGAAATTACATCAATTGTTACAACCCACCGTTTTCACACACAACTTCCACTCGCACACTCAGCCCCCTTACTTTTTCGCCACCGGGGAATCGTTCAAAGGGTAAACAGACCGTGCTGATTCTAAACGGCGGTGGTTTTCAGCAGGGTGCACTCCTAGTAGTTTTTATGATGGTTACTTTGAAACTGCTAAGACAAAAGTCGGAGTACGGTGGACATTTTGTACGCGTTCTGAAAGGACACTTTCAGTCAATATACGATCTTTAAATTCAGGCAAGATAGTCACTATACGTTAGAGATTTGATGGGTGTGTGTGGAATTCGAAGATTAGAATGGAACAAATGGTTACAGAGCCAGAAAGTTGGTGTAAGGTGCGAATGGACATGACGGAACTTACAAAATCGATCCTTTTGGCCCCCCTCCGGTGTCACAGGTTCACTGCCAATCCAAGTGTGAGACAGTCTCACACTATTTAGTGCGAGACACTGTGTCTCACGCTTACAAGCGTGAGCCACGTTTGTCTCACGCTTCCAAGTGTGAGACACCATTTGTCTCACACTTACAAGTGTAAGACACGGTTTGTCCCACACTTGCTGCCTGTGGTTTTCTTTGGTTCAATGCCACAGGACCCACGCTGGCAAGTGTAAGACAAACGGTGTCTCACACTTGGAAGCGTGAGACAAACGGTGTCTCACACTTTGAAGCGTGAGACAAACGTGGCTCACGCTTGTAAGCCTGAGACACAGTGTCTCGCACTAAATAGTGTGAGACTGTCTCACACTTGGATTGGCAGTGTTAAATTGAAAGTCCGTACACTGAGAATCCAAACGCTATGAGTATAGCGTCAATTGGTGCAATGCAAAAGCATTGCACATGAAGTGCAATGCCTCCCATTTCCCATGCATTAGCATAGGGCCTTTTCGGGAAGCATTGCACCAAAGGTGCAATATGGCTGTGGCATTGCACGTATGGTGCGATATCACAGCGCATTGCACCATACGTGCTATACTCATAGCGTTTGGAATCTCAGTGTATATAAAGGGAACAAGCTAGTCTGGTGCCAAACAAGAATCTTACGTACATAAATGGACTGCACTCGAATAAATTTACACTGGGCAGTGTGTGGACACGAAAACGCTCTCTACGCGTGGAATCACCCGCTTGTCCCACGCTTGCAAGTGTGAGACATCATTTGTTTCACTTACAAGTGTGAGACACGGTTTGTCCCACTCTTACTGCTCTACAAATCAAAGAGTGTACATGGTATGCTCTTACTGGAGCGTGCCTGCAAGCACGCTCTAGCTAGCGCATGCCTGCCAAGCATGCACTAACTAGTGCATACATGCCATGTACACGCTAACTGAAGGATACATTTACTGCATAAGGGATAGGGAGTTTGCTGCATCAGGAAGCGTGTACATGGCATGTATGCACTAGTTAGTGCATGCCTGGCAGGCATGCGCTAGCTAGAGCGTGCTTGCAGGCATTCAGTTAGAGCATACTATGTACACTCTTTGATTTGTAGAGTGCCTATGGTTCCCTGTGGTTTAATGCCACAGGATCCACGCTCGTAAGTGTGAGACAAACCTTTTCTCACGCTTGCAAGTGTGAGACAAACCTTGTCTCACGCTTGCAAGTGTGAGACATACCGTGTCTCACGCTTGCAAGTGTGGGACACACGTGGCTCACACTTGTAAGCGTGAGACATCGTGGTTCGCACTAAATAGTGTGAGACTGTCTCACACTTTGATTGGCAGTGTGGTCAAATTATGGCGTGACAGAGTGCCACGCCAAACATTGGCGTGAAAGGAAATTCACACCGAAAAACGGCTTGATGCGTGTGTCACGCCGTCATCTGGCGTACCGTGAAACGGGGTAATTTCGGACACTCGGTGTAATTTCGGACAACTCTGCCCGGAAGCATTGCGATGATGCTCCCATCTAACGGCCAACTTGGAGGCTTGTCCCGTTGCGCGCATCGCATCGGCCACACTTAAAACCATCTGATCAATCACCCGGAGGCCAAATCTGGGGCAAACTTCAGGAGAAAGAGTGGTTTTTGTATTTAACCATTTTTACCTAAATTCACTTTTTGCGTAAAAACTTTGACTGGCAAGCCGAAACTGTTCATGGCCGGTTCATTATGTGATTGTTTGTCGATTTGATCATGTTAAGGGCATACTGTGTCAAATTTTCAATCACCTGGGTCAAATAGTATTGTTTATATGGGCTCAAAACTGAAAAAATGTTACTTTACGGGGTAATTTCGGACATACATGCGTCACGCCAGGGAGAGTGGGTATGTCCTGAACACTTCCAATTTCGCAGGGTTTGAGTGGTGGAAGCTGAAGAGCTCTTCTGAAAGTTGAAGATAATCCAATAACAACGATATTCCCCAATTTTTACAGCGGTTGCTTTGTAAACTTCGAATTTCATAAAAATGGGGCAAAGCTACATCATTAATATTTAGTTTTATGTGTATATCCTACGTTAGTGTCAACGACTGTTTAGTGATTAATTTTCTCTCATGTGACATGAGAGTTGGACTTGGCGAATGGCTGCATAGCTCGCCGGTTTACTACAATTGAAATGCAAAGCTTTCCACTGAGCCCCTGTATCTTCCTAACCGTGCATATGACACGTCTACTTGCCCTTCATATGCATGTATGTGATCGTATGTAATCTTGTAGAGGGAGATTTAAGATTCACTTTCGCGTAATAAAGTATGGCCCGAGTTGCCTAAGGAAGCTAATCGGTCAAAAACTAACAAATAGAAGCGTTTTAAATGGCTCCACTAGTTCCACCCACTATTCCTGAAATCGAACTACATATGAGTGCAAAAACATGCCTTCAAATTATGTATGAATGACCACCCCTACCTTACCTTTACTTCTAAACCCTTACGAATTTCTCATATGATCATATTAGCACTTTAGAAAGAGACAGTGATCGATTTTGGCACCAAAATCAGAACGAAAAGTCGTTTTTTCCAGGGGTGTCCGAAATTACCCCAAAACACGGGGTAATTTCGGACACTGCTTCGGACCCTCCACTGTAAAAACGGTGAGGTGCAGATATTTGAAATAAGCGCCAAATCGAAGCTAAAGGTTGGTAGATAATAAATTTTAACCCTCAAGTCCATGACAGCACCACAACTTTCACAATTTCAAAAAAACCTATCAAAAGTGTCCGAAGTTACCCCGTTTCACGGTACGTCAACATAGAGTCGTTCGGCGAGATTCGGTTCGAGACCTCTTAGCGTGCGATGTAACATAATTACGGAGCCAAATTTCACTCTGAAAACTTCCGTACTTTTGTACGGAAAAGATGCAGAAGAATAGGGTACGGAGGTACGGAACGTCCGTACTTGCTCCATATGAACACTGCTTCCAGGCACACCAGAGTCGGGGCTGCTGCAGGGCGACAGTGGCGGTGGTGCCGTTGTCATGCAGCATGGGTCCTGGTTCCTGGCCGGGGTCGTGTCCGCCCGCCTCAAAGACGGGAACGACAGGGATATCTACGCGCTCACCGACGTGTCGCAGTACGTGGACTGGATCACGTCATTCGTCAAGCCGTGACAATTTAGAGGCAGGATGAGTGACAATCCCGCGCCCATTTCGTCAACTATTGTTTTGTGCCAATCCTTAAAATATGTATGAACACTCTGTCATATGTAGTTTAATTTGGAACCTTCCGAATAAAAAAAGTGCTTTCAGACACGAAGTAACGGTATGAAAATTTTCAGGAACATACAAAAAGGATATAGTTCCGAAGGTTGAGAACCAGCAAAATAAAATTTATTCTTTGAGAAAAATTAACAAAAATATCAAAACAGTTTGCCCTGTGATCGCCACCTTTTGCCCAGTGAGCCAGTGTCCCGGCCCAGTGATGGCCACACTAGGGTTTGATCACTTTGTTTTCATTTTTGACAGTTATTGAAACCAATTTGGACTGGTTTGCACCGTGCTGCATGGGTCGCTGTGTCTTAGGAAACGGAAATCAGTGTACCCTGGGAACTTAAGGGGGGGGGGGGTAAAGTGAAATTTCGAATTTTTTCATGCTTTTTCAGCCTTCTATTCTTAGATATTGGTCACTCTGACATGAAAATGGACATCACCATTGGATTCTCCATGCCTTTTTACTATTTTACCATCTTTAGTTGCGGGTCTGGTGGCACTTTTTGAATTTTCGCAAACATTTTACATTTAGTCCATATTTGGGTTTTAATCCTTGCGCGCAGGATTTCAATTCCAAATGTTGTCCCAAAAATCTGACGAAGTTGCCACATCTTTTTATGGTCAAAATGAAGAAGACAAGGGAGCCGGATTTCAAAAACATGTTTTCTTTCGGCATTAATCTTAAAAACTAGAATCATGACTGTTTTTATGCCGCTTTTGGACATTCATTGACCTGTATCTAAAGATTGAGACACATTTTTGAAAAAAACTCTCCCTTGTCTTCTAGCTATTTGAACACTGGTCATTTTAAGCTGTCGCACAACATTCTACCTCTTATGGTCTCCGAGATATCCTGCGCGCAAGGTCAAAAAAAAATATACCGAGAAAAACCGGTTCAAAGTTAAAGGGCCTAACCTAACCTCACAGTGATTCTACGAATTAAAAGCTCCCTGTGCCGATTTAACGGTGCTGTGGGCCGAAATATGGTCAGGTTTGGTTGTACCAAGGCCCAAAGAGTCGAAAAAAAGCAAAAACCGAAAATCGATTTTCTTCACTTTACCCCCCCCCCTTAAATCTACACTCCCGACAAAAATTAGCGGAACGCTTTTAGTCATCGTAATACTTTCTAAGTTTCTCGAGCTGGGAAGCTGAAATTTTGTACACGGGTGCCCCCACTACTCCCCTCGAGGCCTGCGAAGCGCGTGTCCCGTGCGCCTCCCCTAACGGACGGCACCCACCCCTAAGTGCACAAGGGTGAAAAAGAACGATGAAAACGTGCCGTAAAAACCAACTTTACCTTATCGCAGACTCCAAAGTTTTGGTGTACGAGGTCAAATGAGTCTCCTCTTTCCAAAGACGCAAACGGAATTCAATTTGAACCGACCCACCCCCCGCTGCACTCACCCCCACCCCCACCCCCTCAAGGGGGTGGATTTCGAACATGTTCGAATTTTACGCAAAACAGCGTCGGGGCGTCCCCCGTACCAAGCAATCATGTGTTTTCGAGGTTCCAACCACCCCCAGGTTGGGAGACATGCCCTGCATACAGTGCTGAAGCGTAGTGACGCGCGACGCGCGGGCCGAAATCAGGCTCCCAAATGGCTTTTAATCATCCTGGCGCCAGGTGAGTTGGCTTGCCTACCTGTGCGGCGCATGGACCCGTCCGGTCAGCGCGTCCGTTGCCGCCGAGTGCAGGCTAGGGGCCGTCGACATTTGCGACTTTTCGATTTCGACAACGGAATAGCACTCAAAAGTTGCGTTTTTTAATGCTGATTTCAGATCTGTCCTCGTTTTTGCGATCAGACAAAGCCTTCATGAACCAACTGGCCGTTTTAGGAAAAAAGCGGTGTTTTTCGTGTTTTTACAGTCTTTAGGTCCCCGGACAGCCTCTATCACTGGTAGCCAACGAATGTGACATCACATTCGTTTGAACGTGCACACTAAATGTTTAGGTAGAATTTTGTGCGTGCCACTTGCACGATTTTGTGCATGCGGGGGATTTGCATAATATAATGCGTGAAAATGCATAAAATTATGCAAATTCACGCACAATTTTATGCACGACAGCACACAAGTTTAAAATCATGCATCACCACGTACAAAATTGTACACAAACATTTAGTGTGTGAAAACGGCGATGTCAGTTTGAACGTGACAAACAGAGAAAATTCATACTCAAACGAATGTGACACGCCGCTCCGCTCTGTCACATTACTTCGGGTGTGACACGAAATCAGCAGTCAAACTGTCACATTAAAACGAATGTGACACATGGTACCCATTGGTCACATCCAAACGAATGTGACACCCATATGCTGTCACGTTCGTTTAAATGTGACATGCCCGAATTGTCACATTCAATTGAACGTGACACGCCATAACCTGACACTTATGGCGTGTCCGGGGCGTGTCACGTTCGTTTGAATGTGACAATTCGGGCATGTCACATTCAAACGAACGTGACAGCATATGGGTGTCACATTCGTTTGGATGTGACCAATGGGTACCATGTGTCACATTCGTTTTAATGTGACAGTTTGACTGCTGATTTCGTGTCACACCCGAAGTAATGTGACAGAGCGGAGCGGCGTGTCACATTCGTTTGAGTATGAATTTTCTCTGTTTGTCACGTTCAAACTGACATCGCCGTTTTCACGTTAAAACGAATGTGATGTCACATTCGTTGGCTACCAGTGAATATGTTCATACATTGTTATGAGTTGTTTGCGACTCTTGTGTCCGCTTGTCCACTGCACCCGGGCTCAGAATGTTTTTGTTAAACAATTCTGTCGAATCATGCAAAAATTTTGCCAAATTAAATTAGTGTAGCTGCTTTTCAAGTGAACTTCAAATTTTCATTTTGGACATGCACTTGCTTGTATTACACATGCGGTCTACTTTTTTAAGACCACCACTTTCATTGGGTCTCTTCTCATTGATTAACATACTCTTTGCTTGTGTCTGCAGCGGACCAGCTGGAAACAGTTGTAATCTCTGATGATTCTGATGACCTGCCGGATATACCACAATTGGTATGTCCCTCTGTTAAACTGAAAATTGTAACAAAACTTTAGGCATCCATCAGTTTATTGATCAGTAATATGGAAATCCTTTCCTGTGTGCTTCCAGTCGAACCTCCAAGGGGCAAAAACAGCAAACAATAGATCAGAACGAGAGGCGAAAGAGGAGGTTTGTGCAGTTTACTAAGTTAAAATAATAATATTCTTATCAAATTTTCATTCTGAATCATCTTTTATATTCATCAGGTCCAAGAATGCAGCGTGTGTCTCAAAATACTCAGCAAATGGGATGAGCACTGAGATTCCAAACGCTATGAGTATAGCACGTATGGTGCAATGCACCTGAGATATGAGCAGTTGCCAAAATTCGGGGCACTTTTGAAGGCCATAGAACCGCAAGAAAAAAAGGTGGAAAAGTCGGCTTTTTTCTCGGCCAATTTATTCAGTGATGTCCCACGACTTATATCTGAACGCAGTCGAGCTCCCCGTGCAATATTGCAGAAAGACTAAAAAGCCCCTATCAAAAGTATAGGGGAAAGACACGGAACGTTACAGGATACGGAACGTTACATTTTCATTCAAACAGGCCTAGTAACTCTCTAGCTATGAATTAAAACACGCCATTTGGTGTGAGCACCTGTTTTAAGATTCCTCAACACGTCCCGAAAGAATCATATCTCTGTTTGGTCTAGAACTTGCCCGGGGAACAGAAAAGCATTTTAAAATCATGGTCGGACACTACCGAAACATAACCTATAAAACAAGATTCTGAGCTTTCTATTAACTTCTCAGAGTTCCCGTTTGCACCATTCGACGGCAAAAATGCTACAGATTAATCTGACGACAAGGCCGAGAACTATCAGTGGAATGCAACGCGAGAAACCGTGATAATTCACATGAAACGTTCCGCAAAGTCAACCACGGAGGACATTTTGCGTTTACTGATTGCACCTAAATCGAGCTCGTAAAAACGAGTTCAGTAACATGTGTCTGATAGATAAAATAATAAAGTTTCCGAATATCTTCTCAGAATCGTTCTACGTTCCATATTAGCTGAAATATAAGCATCGAAACTTTGAGTTTATGGACGGGGGACATGCCGGAACGTTACAAAATGACCCTTTGGAGCACTTTGTCGACATCTTCTGCGTTGAAAAAGTGGTGACTTAAGATGGATAAGAGTGGGCGACGTCGAGCCCAACACAACGCACCAAACCGCATCTCAATAGGTTTAAAAATAACGATCATAGAGCCAAAAGACACAAAAGATACCCTTATTTTGGCAACTGCTCCTAGACTGTGCTGCTCCATTGGATCAATCTGGAGTCCGTAATCTTTGAAATCTAAGACGTTTTCCAAACCCTTGCATGCTGTTACGAATCGCCCCAGCATGGGGTGATTTGTAACAGCCATGTGGCTTTTCTAGACATCCTACACATTAAATGAAACATCGTCAGGAATGTTATCTCCTCCACCAGTTGTTCTTCGGGTGTCCTGCAGACGTCTAAAAATCTGCATTACAAGCTGCCGTTGGCCGCCTCAGCATTAACTGATAGGCTATGTTAATCCTAACCTCACTTTTTTTCAATTTTAGAGGAAAGCATAGAATAACTCGCTTTAAAATGCATTTCGAGCTGTGTAAATGTATTGGAATAAAACAGCAGATGGTTCGAGAAATAATTCAAGCATTTAACAGCAAAAACTACTTAAATTCTTGTTTTTATACGGGTCTGTTACGAATCACCCCAAATGCCTGTTACGCAAGAAATCCGATTGTTCAAGGACCCTGTACTTGAAGCGAAAGAGGGGCCATACTCAGATTTTCCTCTGCTCCCTCCACTTAAATTAATAAACGCATTTGTTACGAATCGCCCCTGTTACAAATCGCCCCATACTCCCTTAACAGTCACGACCTTATGGGCACGTCAGTACCTATA